GCAGGACACTTTCAGAAAAGGTTTATCTGAACAATAACTGAAGTATACATGATGACAGCACCCATTTGTAGGAGTGAAGGGCCTCATTTATGGGATAATATACTCAACTCCCTTGTATAAATATCCTCAGCTCAACTCTCCTCACCCTCCACAGTATAGACCTGAGAAATCTCCCACCCTGGTTGTACCCAATTACCCACCTTCTCAGTGTCTGCACCAAAGTCACTTGACATGTTGGCAGAGTCACACAATGGGTGCCTGGTTACATCCTAAATGCACGAGTACACACTTCTAAAGGACGCTCAATAATCTTAGCACGTTTCTCTGACATGTTAGCTGAGCCACCACACAGAAACTCCCTCACCTCCCTGCCAAACCTACAGACTCACCTCCAACTCTACTCTCTTCTCCCTTCTTCCTCTTATAATAGAGGAAGAGGCCCCCATCCTACCAGAGGTACATCTACCCACTGTGGCCAAGGATCCCAACCCTCTCCTTTCAGAGTTCCTGTGGTAGCGATTACTAAATCTTGCTCCAGTCCGCTCTTCTCTGAACTTGAGGCTTGTTATCCAGCTATTCATTTGCCATCTTCTCTTCAGTGTGTCCTGGGCAAGACAAAATGGCAAAACAGAACTCCAGATTCTTCCACAAAACTCTGCCTTCCCCCACTGTCTGCCATCTATCTAGAGGTCATTCTTGGTTCCTCTCTGTCCCTCACCACCTTTGTCCTCACATCCCGTCCATCAGCAAGCCCATCAGCTCTGAGATCACTTCTCCACCACCTCCATCTCCTGCCTGGACTACTGCAACAGCCCCCTTCTTCCACTGCTGCCACCTGACATCAGGTAAGTCCCTTGACTGCCAAAAACCCTCTCCTGGCTGCCTGTGGTGCCAGCAAAATCCAGTCTCCAGGATAACTATTAATATAAGGCCCTGCACCACCTGGCTCTGCCTACTTCTCTATCATCTTGCTCACCAGGCTTCACCCACCTGTCTCCTGTCATTTCCTGAACATCCCAAACTCTTGTAAACCTCGACTTTACCACTTGCTGTTCCCTCTATCCGAGCGCTCTTGGCTGGCACCTTGTTCTTCAGACTTCAGCTTAAATCACATCTCAGAGGGCATCCATAGAATATCATCTCTAGAGTGGTACATACTCCTCCCTCCAGTAAGCATAAGCAACAACTTCAAGCTATCAGATAGAATATAAGGGGCCAGATGAGTAAAAGAATCCACCACTTGTTGGCTGGCCCCTTTACTGAAGACCCGTAAGTTCTTGTCTAACACTGAGGATTAGCCGAGGAAAAAGGAGAGGTTAGTTGCGAAGTCACAGAAAATATGCCTTAGGTTTGCCTCACCCAGCCAGTTCAGAAAGAAACTTACTTCCCATTTAGACTTTTCAACAAAATTGAAAATTTAGGAAAATAGGACAGAGAGGCAAGGTAGGAATGGGGTCCACAATCTAACCAGACTTGGTCCCAGCTGCCAAAATTGGCACTAGAGAAACCTGAGGGAGATCCCTGCTGGTTCCCAGTGGAACCAGGTGCACTTTCCTCCCCTTCTCCCATGTCCTTTAGTGATCCCTTGTCCTCTCTCCAAACTTGAACTTCAAAACCTACTTCTGGATTACTTTCATCTTGGCTCAGGCAGCCCTTCCAGTTATTATACTGATGACTTTCAAAACTCTTTCAGTCTTACCAACAGCAGGGTACTAGTGAATAATACAAAACTGAGTATGTCATTTTCCCTGCCTTAGAGCCTCAAGACTCCCCATTAGACCACTCAAGATAAACGTAAATCAAAAACTCAAAGGCAATCATACAAGCCACATTGACATGAGTGATATAAAATTATTGTAGGGATCACCCTCCATTCCAATTGCCAAGGATGGCTTCACAGGTGGCTCTGAAGCAGGGCATTATGGGATAAGATAGGTAAGAGGGATCACTGAGGTTATGAGTAATCTTAGAGATCAGCTAGCCCCGTACCTTTTCAATACATCGATTCTAAAATGCCAGCAAATTGGAGCATACCATTGATCTAATAACTTTGTAGGCTGGGGATGAGTAACCAGTTGGCAAGTTTCTTCTGACATTCTAGAAAACATGATTTGTATAGGAAAGAATGTAAAAGGATATAAAAGATGTTAATGTTTTGGGGGGTAGTAGATGGAAAATGTTTTGCCTTATTTTCTAGTTTTTCTATAATATAAAAGAACAAATTCCTTTCGAAACTTTATTAGAGCAGCTCAGTAACATCCTCTTTTCACCTGTAGGTACTTTGTGCTATTTATCTGATCATTGTGTTAAACCCCTAAAATTCAGGCAGTACATGCTCATGATTCCAAGTTTCCTAAAGGGGAATTCTCTGGCACCAGCGGCCTCCAGCAATGATGTGCCTCCAGCACATTTACCATGTAAACATAACCGTCCTCCAACCCAGGGGACCAGTTCCCTCTCACGCTCTTAACTACTGCCACTGTCCCCACCACTCATCTGTACATTTCAGCTTCCGGCACCACACATTCTCACCACAGCAGCCTCTGTGTGTGACTAAAATGCCTCTACTTCCTTTACCAGTATGTCTTATGGAAGAACAGATTTTGACACACACATTCTTCACTTCAAAAATGTCAAGGAGCCTTTACCCTCAATCAGCGTTTTCCAGGCTGGAGCCATTGAATAGCAAGTGCTTGAGCAATTTTCAAAACACCAAATAGAAATCTGCAATGTTGCCCAGATTTAGCACAGATTCATTATCAACTCACTGCAGCAAGGCTGTTTATACCCTAATGACTGGATGGTCTAAGTAGCAGTAACCCCAAAGGCATGTGCATGCGGCGGTGGGGAGGTAATCAGGGGCTGGGATACAGAGGTGTGTGCATTTGGGGAGGAGGGATGATGTCCCAAAGCCAAGCCAAGGAGACACTGCAGAACCACCTGCACACGCTGCATCACAGACGCAAGCTCTGCACCACACTCCTCCACAGTTCAGTGTCCTTTCAATCTAGGGGGCAATTTCTGCCACTCTCACCAGTCTCCTGTGCTTCACCCTAAACCTGGCAAACAAAAGTGAGCAGTACACACGTGCCATCAGTTGGAGGGTCACAGTGTGTTAAGAGCTCATGAGTGGGTAAGGCCTGGGGTTTTGTTCCAGCTCTGCCACCACAGGCAGCTGGGGCACTCTGGACAAGTCACTTGTCCTCACTGGAACTCATTTTCTTCCTGAAAAACGAGTGACATTCCTCAGGGACTCCAGGGAAGGGGCAGGGGTGAGATCTGTGAGACAGAGGGTAGGGTTCTGAGGCCCCTACCCTGCCTGAACCAGATCTGCCCAAATACTTTACATATTACCCTCAATGTATGAGGCTAAAATGCCATCTAAACGAAGGCTTCTAAAGCAAAGTTGGAACTTTTGAAAATCATCTAATCCAATCTCACTTCCAGGTTTAACCAGCCAAAGAGCAACCTAACATTTATACTAACATTTACAAAGCAAACTTCTAAGTGTTGGGCATTTTAATATCTTATTAACCTTCATACCAATTCTTGGATATGGGTACTATATCCATGTTTATAGTAGAGAAATTAAGGCTCAGAAAAATGAAATGACTTATCCAGTCACAAATGGAGGTGTGCGGATTTGGACCCAGTGATTTATGTCTCAAAGCCCTTGTCCTTTCTTCTACACCTCTCCGCCTGCCTTTTCAACCATATTAACC